CAAATAATAACTAAACTAAAGTAAATCGAACCGAACCGAACAGAACGAGTCGAATCGAATTGCATCAAATCGAATAGCATCTAATCAAATCAAATTTAACAAAATAAAATAAAACTAATATCAAAATCAAATATGTAAAAGACAGAAAAATTAAAATTATTATATCTTTATTATCACATTATGATAAAAAAAATGAACTGTTTTGACAGTTTTGTGCATCAACTCCAAAAGCATCATATTTAAATCAACTATAATCTACAGTTTCTTTTGTCTGGGTTGTTTTAGCTTGCTTAACATCTTCTATAAATGCAAAGTACTTTTCTCTAATGAGAATAACGCTATCCATTAATTTTCGGAAATGATTCCAAAACATTGTTAGTTATTTATTCAATGTTCACGTTCTCACCAGAAAGTACACCTTGTAAAAAAATGGAGATTAGTTCATTGATCAACATATGCACATACACAAACACAATGATACATATACTCATACACACACATTCACAAACATACTCATTTAAACACTCTAACACACACTCACACACATGTATACACTCTCGTACTTATTCATACTCTTACAGATACACTCATACATACATATTCATACATACACACATAATATTGTAAAAATCGACATAGGGGTAAAAAGAAAGCCACTTTTTATTATGATTTGTGTAATTGTGTAGGTTGTTTATTGAGGGTGGTCGGAGTGGGTTTGTATATATTATGGTGTTGACAGGGCTTTACAAATGTCATATAATGTTCATGTAGTTCGAAGTTTGGTTAAGTATTAGGGCTGCTGGTTTTCGTGTTACAAATTTGTTTACGTTTTTTTTGTTTTAATGTTAGTAAAACTTTCGTAATTATGGAAACTAACACTGGTGTGGATATATATATATATATATATATATATATATATATATATATATATATATATATATATATATATATATATATATATATATATATTTATATAATTTATATATTTATATATATTTTTTTTCAGCAACATCGTCATATGATATACAAGTAGTTTTTAACTTAACGTCAGAAGATCTACAGTTAGACAATAAGAAAAGCACCGATTACAAGAAATTAACGTATGAAGTAGAATCTCAAGTAATACTTTTGTCCAAAAAAGTACAGACACTTAAAGTGACTTAAGTGCTTGTTAAAATAAAATAAAATAAATTATTTTGATATTTATGTATTTATGTAAATGCATACATGTAGATGTAGTTATGTATATATATATATATATATATATATATATATATATATATATATATATATATATATATATGTGTGTGTGTGTATGTATTTATGTATTTTGTAATTCACTCCTCGCACACTCGCTCACTCACCCACCCACTCACTCGTTTGTCTGGTCGTCTGGTCGAATAATGACTAAAATAGTTAAATAAAAAATCTCAATTATTTATTGGGCGTTTTATACTTACTTTTCTTTTAACCAAATCACTTTTGTTGTGGCATACTTTCCTTCGATATGTTTAATTAATCTAGTTATTTGGTAGATCTAGATAAATTTATTGTATACTCAAATTAGAAGAACTTTCAAGGGTATTCTAAAATTAAAATTGATAGTAGTGATGGAACCTAGTAAAAATAGCAAACAGACGTATCGTAAAGGCTATAGCCGACAGAAAATTTAGCTTCATAATGCGTTAAACTTTTGAATAAGCAACATAGTTTTCCATGCAAGCCATGTGAAAATAAGTAAAGAAAGTACTTGATGTCAACTTTTATAATTAAAAGTGTTTCTAGAAATGAATATATCAATACATTAATTATAGTCTTTAAATACATTTCTTACATACTAACATAAAGTGCACATTGTATTTTTTCAGATGCTTAAAGAATTAGCCTATGCTAATATTAAGGTTATACAGCTTAAAGTAATTGATTTAAGGTTCGTATTTTTAAAAAAATATCTATAGTTTACTACTTCCTTAAAACATCCAATTGAACCAACTGCTTCGACGAGTTAGTTTTCTCACACGAGAGGGATTTGATCAAGTGCCAAATATTGCATATAGCTTCCACTTCATATTACAAAGAAGTAGTTTGGACAGTCGTGACTCAACGAGACGCATTGATGCATTCATTTTAATCAATCCATGTAGATATGAAAAGTAGAAATCAGATGTAAAAGAGCCTTGACTACATAATGGGCGTTCCCCGAACACCCATGTCGGCAACACATGTTCCCTTCAAAGATTACCCAAAGTTGTTTACTCTTTCTAACTGTTACCAAAACAACTAGCTTTTCTTTACCTTGTGTCATTCTACCCCACAAAAAACTTCATTCTTCATATAATCGCACACCTGAAACATACACAACTCTCAATAGCACTAATCCTACGGTTCAATACATTATTATAGTTGTAGGGACAAACACAATTTAATAGGTACATTTTTATCTGCGCCCTATCCTACTGCCTTATCTGTTACTTAGGTATTGATCGACACATTTCTGTAATGACGTTATCCTAATATGTGGATAATATTTGTATGTTATAATTATATTATTACTTATTTAAATACTTTGTTTTTCTCATTTTAGGAAGGGCAGTTTGATAGCAGACATTAACATTTTCATTGAAGAGAACACCAAACTAGAAATAGAATTAACTACGTCATTAAAAAAACTGGAGAATAGGGAAGTTACTTTAAATGATAATCCAGTATCGATACGAAATATAGGTTTGAAAGACAATGCAGGTAAAACGAAAATCATATCAGAAAATACCCGATACTTTTTTTTTATAATCTGATATATATATATATATATATATATATATAAATATATATATACATATATATATATATTATAATATTAATGCAATCCTAAAATATTTTTTAGGTTCTGATTCACAACAAAGTATAATAGGAATTAAAATTGGAATTCCTTTAGGGGGAGGAACTTTTGTGATAAGCCTATCTTCTCTTATATGGTGCTACAGGAAAAAGAAATGCTGCAATAAAAAGTAATAGTTTCATTCAATAATTTTGTTACAATTTTTTTTCATCTTTCAAATTACATAACGTTATTGAAATATATAGTTATATTATTTTAGGATATGTGTGATCATTGTCTGTTTCTTTAATATATTGCTCATGCCATACATAATTTATTCAAGTAATTTAACTTGAATGGTCCTGTTTGCTAAAAATAATTTGTTATAATTAAATGAATTCCGGGCGACTAAAGATGTTTCTTTGTCTCTTTACAAAAATAAAATAATTTGTGAAACAGAAGAAAAAAAGTAAAATATATAAATAAAAGAAGATATGTTTCTTCAAAATAATTGCAGAAATCAAGATCAGCAACGAAGCCGAAATGACTTCAATTCATCTTGTTCAATAGAGTATGTGTTTTTTTAGTTGTATTTTAGTTGAATATAATAATACCATAGGTTTTAATGAGAAACTAGCCATGGACAGAGACGTCTGGAAAGCTCTTGTCAGCGGCCTATGTCCCAGTAGGGACGACAGGCAAACATGACATGACATAGGTTTTAATTGTTTAAAAATTAACACAAATTATTTTTTAAAAAATTATTAAGTTATATCATTGATACGACCTATACCTATACCTATACCTATATCTATACCTATACCTATACCTATACCTATACCTATACCTATACCTATACCTATACCTATACCTATACCTATACCTATACCTATACCTATACCTATACCTATACCTATACCTATACCTATACCTATACCTATACCTATACCTATACCTATACCTATACCTATACCTATACCTATACCTATACCTATACCTATACCTATACCTATACCTATACCTATACCTATACCTATACCTATACCTATACCTATACCTATACCTATACCTATACCTATACCTATACCTATACCTATACCTATACCTATACCTATACCTATACCTATACCTATACCTATACCTATACCTATACCTATACCTATACCTATACCTATACCTATACCTATACCTATACCTATACCTATACCTATACCTATACCTATACCTATGCCTATGCCTATACCTATACCTATACCTATACCTTTACCTATACCTATACCTATACCTATACCTATACCTATACCTATACCTATACCGATACCTATACCTATACCTATACCTATACCTATACCTACACCTACAACTACAACTACAACCACAACCACAACCACAACCACAACCACAACCACAACCACAACTACAACTACAACTACAACTACAACTACAACTACAACTACAACTACAACTACAACTACAACTACAACTACAACTACAACTACAACTACAACTACAACTACAACTACAACTACAACTACAACTACAACTACAACTACAACTACAACTACAACAACAACTACAACTACAACTACAACTACAACTACAACTACAACTACAACTACAACTACAACTACAACTACAACTACAACTACAACTACAACTACAACTACAACTACAACTACAACTACAACTACAACTACAACTACAACTACAACTACAACTACAACTACAACTACAACTACAGCTACAACTACAACTACAACTACAACTACAACTACAACTAGAATTATATAATCAATAATATTTCACTTTGCTGTAATAAAAAAAACGAGCCGGCCCGCGGCATAACATACGCCGCTATTTAGTTGTTGTTTTTTCTACTTTTCAGTAATTCATAATTTGTGAATTCGACAGTACCAACGCTGACACTGAAAATATTTCTTTAAAACCCTATAACTAGCTCGTTAAGGACCATAACCCCCCCCCCCTTCCTTCCCCCCCCCCCCCCAACGTTTAAAATCCTTTCAAACTAAATTATCTGCCCCTAATAGCCGTCACTAAACCCGACTCCACGAAGGTAAACATAGCGTGAACCACAGCTCACTAAGACCATGTAGGGGTGGGGATGGTAGGGAGCGCGTTTACAGCTTGTTTTCTAGCATCTCCCAGAAGAGAATTATATATATATATATATATATATATATATATATATATATATATATATATATATATATATATATATAGATAGATAATAAAAGACTGACAAAAGCTTAAAAATAATTGACGAGCCTTTAAACTTTTTACAACGTAAGATTACATTACATGCATTTAATAATAAACATTTTGTTGATTTTGAATAGTAAAATCCTATTATGTTTTTAAAATGAATTACATATTATGTTAAAACGGATACATATTTGAATTTTGTTTTTTTTTGCATCTTATTTGTTCAAACTTGTGTTTTTTTTTTTATTTATATTATTTCATTAATATCATTTAGATCTATATTGAAATTATGAAGATGTAAGAAAAGTGTTAAGATGATGCAATAATAAATCGTTAAGAAAATTGTGTAAAAATATCCCGTTAATAAAACATATTAAGGAGATTTTTCGAAAAAACTATATTGAGGTTTAATGGGACGAGAAGGAATTAGTTTTATCATTAAACCGAGTAACTTTTTCATGTAACTTGCGCTTTTAAAACGTAAAATTGTTAATATGATTCTGTGTAGGAAACGTAGGTCTGTTCACTATCGCACTGCCATCCACTTAACACTTCTATAAATTGGGACTCGACTGATCGGGAAGAAGGATAGTCTTTCGATAACAATTAACTGTGTTAATGGCACGAGAAATTAAACACTAGACTGTAACATCCTTTTTTTTTTAACAAAGCACGTAATTTTATGTACAATTGCTTTTCACTGTTTGTTACATAAGTACACTATGTTGAACATATTGGCTAATTGGAATTCTTGCTTTGTTTTCTTAGATCAGATGAATCAAACAATTACGAAACTCATATTCAGTAAGTTGTTAAGTGTATAAATACATATATTTTTAACAGCGCTTCTTATAGCATTATGTGTGCACTATTTGCAATTCACTTTACACAGTATATCAATTTTCAATTTTTAGATCTGTTCCTCAACTTGGAATGATACCTGTTCAAAATACGTAAGAATATGTAGCCTACGTATAACTGTACGTAAACGTCTATGTATATTGTAAAGTGTACGTGCATGTATAATATTCTAATAAAAAGGGAGGTGTGGCAATGTTTGTAAGTATGTCTTCATTTTTGTCTACGTTTATGTCTATGGAGTGCCGCATTTACGTATAAACGAAACAAGCTATAGCTTAGAACTCGCGCTTTCATCTACATCTACATCTACATCTACATCTACATCTACATCTACATCTACATCTACATCTACATCTACATCTACATCTACATCTACATCTACATCTACATCTACATCTACATCTACATCTACATCTACATCTACATCTACATCTACATCTACATCTACATCTACATCTACATCTACATCTACATCTACATCTACATCTACATCTACATCTACATCTACATCTACATCTACATCTACATCTACATCTACATCTACATCTACATCTACATCTACATCTACATCTACATCTACATCTACATCTACATCTACATCTACATCTACATCTACATCTACATCTACATCTACATCTACATCTACATCTACATCTACATCTACATCTACATCTACATCTACATCTACATCTACATCTACATCTACATCTACATCTACATCTACATCTACATCTACATCTACATCTACATCTACATCTACATCTACATCTACATCTACATCTACATCTACATCTACATCTACATCTACATCTACATCTACATCTACATCTACATCTACATCTACATCTACATCTACATCTACATCTACATCTACATCTACATCTACATCTACATCTACATCTACATCTACATCTACATCTACATCTACATCTACATCTACATCTACATCTACATCTACATCTACATCTACATCTACATCTACATCTACATCTACATCTACATCTACATCTACATCTACATCTACATCTACATCTACATCTACATCTACATCTACATCTACATCTACATCTACATCTACATCTACATCTACATCTACATCTACATTTAAATCTGCATCTACATCATCTACATCTACATCTACGTCTCTACGTCTCTACGTCTCTTCGTCTCTACGTCTCTACGTCTCTACGTCTCTACGTCTCTACGTCTCTACGTCTCTACGTCTCTACGTCTCTACGTCTCTACGTCTCTACGTCTCTACGTCTCTACGTCTCTACGTCTCTACGTCTCTACGTCTCTACGTCTCTACTTCTCTACGTCTCTACGTCTCTACGTCTCTACGTCTCTACGTCTCTACGTCTCTACGTCTCTACGTCTCTACGTCTCTACGTCTCTACGTCTCTACGTCTCTACGTCTCTACGTCTCTACGTCTCTACGTCTCTACGTCTCTACGTCTCTACGTCTCTACGTCTCTACGTCTCTACGTCTACGTCTACGTCTACGTCTACGTCTACGTCTACGTCTACGTCTACGTCTACGTCTACGTCTACGTCTACGTCTACGTCTACGTCTACGTCTACGTCTACGTCTACGTCTACGCCTACGCCTACGCCTACGCCTACGCCTACGCCTACGTCTACGTCTACGTCTACGTCTACGTCTACGTCTATGTCTATGTCTATGTCTATGTCTACACCTACACCTACACCTACACCTACACCTTCACCTACACCTACACCTACACCTACACCTACACCTACACCTACACCTACACCTACACCTACACCTACACCTACACCTACACCTACACCTACACCTACACCTACACCTACACC